CAGCTACTCAGGAGGCTGAGGCAGGAGAATTGCCTGAACCCAGGAGGCGGAGGTTGCGGTGAGCCGAGATCGCGCCATTGCACTCCAGCCTGGGTAACAAGAGCGAAACTCTGTCTCAAAAAAAAGAAAAGACAAGCCAGAATCCATACCAATGACATCTTTCTCTGGCTGAAAACTTATTAGCCGCAGACATCTACAAGGCCACTACCAGCTACACCACTGTGTTGTGAAAGGATACATTCCTTAGGAAAGATTCTTAGCACCTTTACTTTTGAATTTTTTTCCCATTAACAGTTACCATTCCTTAGAACTTCACTGCTTTAACCAAAGCTACAATTTTATGTTTATTTTTGCTACCTGTTCTTTCTCACTGTTTCAAATTCAGAAGTAAATTGAGTTTGCATTGCTTGAAATTGATTTCTAATCCCAAATCACATTACCTGGGCAATTACAGACACACCATTTGGAGTGCTGAATGGATCAAGAATTTAATCCCTTTTCTGTTAATATATTATTGCCATTTTTGTTTTTTTTTCTTCAATTTTATATATGGTTAACATTTCAAAGATTTGTGCAATTTTGAAAACAGCAAATTTCATGCCATAAAATCAGAAAATGTGACTGGTAGGAGTAATACATGGGCACACAAAAACCTAATTGCTTTCTATTTCTATTAGTTATTTCCTGCTTTGTGTTACTCTCATCTGGTCTCATTAGATCAGATCTGCCACCCTGATCGCATCAGTTAATGAGGCAGAGGTGATCTTGATTTTAAAACCTCCTCGGAGAAAACAGAATACATTTTTGCCTTTCCATAATCCATTTATCATAATGCTTCCAGTCAACGTTTATAAAATGCTAATCAGCTCACGTCACACCCGACTTTACTCTCTGGATGACTCCTCTTTGCCCTCAGGGAAAAGCACTGAGTCCTTCCTTGTATTATAATGACACTCAGTTAAATATTTCATATAATGCAACAAAAAGGAATTACTAAGCTGGGCGCAGTGGCTCACATCTGTAATCCAAGCACTTTTGGAGGCCAAAAGTGGACAAATCACTGAAGGCCTGGGCAACATGGCAAAACCCTGTCTCTACAAAAAATAGAAAAATTAGCCTGGTGTGGTGGTGTATGCCTGTGGTCCTAGCTACTCAGGAAGCTAAGGTGGAAGGATCACTTGAGCCTGGGGAGGCTGAGGCTGCAGTGAGCTGTGATCTGGGCTACTAAACTTTAACCTGGATAACAGAGACATTGTCTCAAAGAAAAAAAAAGAATTACTAGAACATAAAGCCATACAAAAGACTTTCCAAAGAGAAATCTTCAGTCACACCAGGCCTTTATACAGAGTTCACAAGATGAAGCCCTTCAGGGTCAGAGCTGTTGTAACAAAAGACCATTCCCTATACTCCTAGGAGACCCCCATATCTCTATACTTAGGACTTTTCCTGAAATAGCTATGCCTACATATACACATTCAAAGAAACAAAACTGGGAATTTTCCGTCCATTATGGAAGCTTACCTCCTTCTTCATTGACTGGGTAATCCGAGGCTGAACACTGAGCTAATGTGTGACTGGCTTTCCACACCGGGTTTATCTGATGTACCTTCCTAAGGCTGCTCCCTTTTATAGAGCCTGGGATCAGTGATTGATTTAAAGATGTGATTGGATAAGACTTGCCTTTGATTGAATTACTGATGGAATCTTCATCCAGCCACAGCTGCAGGTTATATACCATCACTGGTCCTGGATCAATAGATCATAAACAAACACATTAATATCTCTGCAGGCTAGGCGAGGTGGCTCACGCCTGCAATCCCAGCACTTCGGGAGGCCAAGGTAGGCAGATCACTTTAGGTCAGGAGTTCGAGACCAGCCTGGCTAACGTGGTGAAACCCTGTCTCTACTAAAAGTACAAAAATTAGCTGGGTGTGGTGGTGGGTGCCTGTAATCCCAGATACTTGGAAGGCTGGGGCAGAAGAATCCGTTGCACTCAGGAGGTGGAGGTTGCAGTGAGCTGAGATAGCACCACTGCACTCCAGACTGGGAGAAAGAGCAAGACTTTGTTTAAAAAACAAAAAATTGGCCGGGTGAGGTGGCTCACACCTGTAATCCTAGCACTTTGGGAGGCTGAGGGGGGTGGATCATGAGGTCAAGAAATGGAGACCATCCTGGCCAACATGGTGAAACCCCATCTCTACTAAAAAATACAAAAATTAGCTGGGCATGGTGGCATGCACCTGTAGTCCCAGCTACCTGGGAGGCTGAGGCAGGAGAATTACTTGAACCCGGGAGGCAGAGGTTGTAGTGAGCTGACATCGCACCACTGCACTCCAGCCTGGCACCTGGTGACAGAGCAAGACTCTGTCTCAAAAAAAAAAAAAAAAAAATTCTGCAGCCCTAGCCTGAGCAACAAAGCAAGACTCTGTCTCTACAAAAAATAACATAAAAAATGTTAGCCAGGGATGGTGCCATGTACCTGTAGCTTGTCTGAGCCAAGGAGTTCATAGCTGCAGTGGGTTATGACTGCCCCAATTAACTCCAGTCTGGGACACAGACGGAGACCCAGACCAAAAAATCTGCAGTAAAATGTAACAACGTCCACATTAAATGAAAATATAAAGACAAATGTTAGTCTCACAAATTCTGGTCAAGTTTAGTATAAATTACTCATACAAACGTGACAAACTTTTGCTCACACTTTTAAGTTTTCAGAGATTTATGAATTACAAGGGTGGCAGAGGGCAAGGCTAATGCTCTCTTTCTGTGCCAATTCCAGGCTGGTGAAACAAAGGGGGTTCCAGGACCCCAGAGAAGGCATTCCTAACCCATTAAAGAGGTGACAGGGGCTGAGACTAGGATTATATCAGTGGAAAGGGAGAAATTGGTGCATGTTTTATATTGAGAAAGCATATGATGTTTGATAGACTTAATGTGAGGCTTGAGGGAGAGGGAGGAGTTAAAATGGCGAGAAGCTCCTGGTCACCTAGTGTGGTGGAAGCTGTGCTGTCTTCCCTGCAATCTCCCTCCCCACTTTCCATCCTTATATAGGCTGAGACTTTGGTGGAGTTGAGAATGTATCAAAAAGGTGCGAGCCAATTACAGCCATGTGTTTCATCTGCTTCATCAGGCATGCGGCCCCTTGGGATTTGGATATTCCCCCTATTACTGTAGGGTACAGAGTTTAAATTTCCTGGTCCTGCATTGATGAAATGTCTGCTTGACTTCCCCACAATGGGAATTATGTTCTGAATTCTCATATCGTAGGACTATGTATTGGTCCATTTCTCCAAGGAGTTTCATCCATGTGTACTCCATATAGAAAAGTATCCCTGCTCCCATTAAGAGCTAATTTTCCGGCCGAGAGTGGTGGCTCACGCCTGTAATCCAAGCACTCTGGAGACCAAGGCGGGCGGATCACCTGAGGTCAGGAGTTCAAGATCAGCCTGATCAACATGGTGAAACCCCGTCTTTATTTAAAAA